CATTTCTATTAATACCCCAGTGGTCTTTCCAACCAACCAAAAAAATAGTGATTCAAGGAAGGGGGAATATAAGAAAGTAATACTGGACATGGGTTACCAATAGTATTGTTATACATTATTTGGTGCTGTGATGTTGAACTTGCCCAAAATTATACAACTGTGAATGGCAGAGCTGGGATTCCAACCTGGGTACTAAAGAGTATGTGATCTAATCCAGTGCTACTTACAGTCTGTGATCTAAACCAGTGTTTCTTATACTTTGGTAGAAAACTAGTTTATTTTAAAACTATTTCCAATCTAATGTTTCTCTAAAATAGGATAGAGATGAAAAAATGCATGTATAGTATAAGGCTGAATTTGATATTATTGGTTTCTACAGACATAAAGGTACTGTCAAACGACTAGAAAGCTTTCTAAATGTTTACTTCCTACTTCTATACTTAATCTGGCTATCCTATCTAATAAAAGAGAAACATGCAAATTGACCATTCCCCGAACGCTTCCCATTGGCTAATCAGCAGGATATGCAAATTAACTGCCAACCAAGACGGCAGCCAGGCAGCTGAAGCGAACAGCAGGCTTGCTTGCTCCAGGGATGGAGGAAGCCAAGGTTCCCTGCCTGCCGCTGCCCAGCTCTGAGCTCCGGATGCAACAAAGTTGCAATTACAGAAGCTAAACAAGCTCCAGAAACCTGCTTTCAGCCGGCAGCAGGCTCAGAGCATAGAGCGGCAGTGATGGCAACAGAGTTTCAATTATAGAAGCTAAACAAAGCCCAGATATCGGCTTTCAGCAGCGGAGGCCTCAAGCTGGAGCCGGCCTCAGAGCTAAAGCCGGCTCTCAGCTCCAGTGACAGCCATAGAAAGTAAATAAATCCCAGAATAAAGAAAAAAGAAAAAAAGGAGAGGCTGGGAGCTTCAGTCACCCGCCAGCCTGAAAACGGCCCTCAGCCCTCATCCAGACTGGCAGGTACCCCAGTGGGGACCCCCACCCTAAAGGGGTGCGGTCAGCCTAAAAACAGCCATCAGCCCGTCATCCAGGCTGGCCAGGCACCCCAGTGGGGACCCCCACCCTGATCCGGGACACCCTTCAGGGCAAACCAGCCGGCCCCCACCGTGCACCAGGCCTCTATCCTATACTACAGGCAGGGCGGGACAGCGCGAGCTGCCATCCGGGCCCCATGTGCAGCCCTGGGCAGCGGGGCATAAGCCCCGTCCCCAGCCGGGACCCCTATGTGCCACTTGAGCTCCCAGCCGGGACCCCCGTTCCGCCTAAGCCCCTCACTGCTAAGCTCCGCCCCCAGCCGGGACCCTATGACTATTGGAGAGCAGGAAAGTGCCGCTGGGCCCTGGGTCGCTGTGGTGATCCGGCCATCGGTAAATAGAAAAGTGCGGCCTGTAGGCAGCCCCAAGCTGGGCCTGATCCAGGAGCAGGAAAGCCCGGCTTGCAAGCAGCACCCCCATCCTGGCCATAGCTCAAGGGAGAGTACAACATGCAGTGGAGGCCAGGAGCCTGAGAGATCAACACAGAGGGGCTCCTGCTCCCAGCCTCCGTAGTGTGGCTGGGGGCAGGCCCCCAGCAGACACACACACACACACACACACACACACACACACACACACTGCCTGCTCTGAGCCTCCAATGTGGCTGGGGGAAGACCCCCAGTGGGGACACACACACACACACACACACACACACACACACACACGGGATGCCTGCTCTGAGTCTCTGCTGCCAGACTGTGGCCATCAGTAGGATATCCACTGAGGGCTCCTGGACTGTGAGAGGGGCAGGCTGGGCTGAGGGAACCCCCACCCCCCAGTGCACGAATTTCGTGCGCCGGGCCTCTAGTCTATAGATATAAAAGCCTCTAAGTCACCTACTACTGAATGACCCGTTGACCAGTCGCTATGACGTGCACTGACCCCTAGGGGGCAGACGCTCAATGCAGGAGCGTCAGTACGCTCCCATAGCCAAGCCAACCTCCCGTGGCTCTTCCCCCCCGGCCACCCCGCCCGCCCCCCATTGGTCCTAATTGGGAGGGCCGGCCGGCAAGGGGGAGGGACCCCAGGAGGTTGGCCTGCTGGCCCCTCCGATGGCCCTGATCGGGGGGCGTCAGGCCAACCTCCCGGGGTCCCCCTCCCCCAGCCGGCCGGCCCCCAGATAGGGTTCGATTGTCGGCCAGGCTGAGGGACCCCACCTGTGCACGAATTTGTGCACTGGGCCTTTAGTACAATATAACCAGCAGAAATCTGTGGACCACACTTTGAGCTACTGCTTCAAACCTTTATTAGTGTCAGGAGAACAATTTATTTTTGCATACTTCAAATTAAGGCTTAGGTGATGTCCTAACCTCCAGAAATAGTCCTGAAATTTCTTAAGTTCTTAGTAAATATATTTGTTTAGTGAAGTAATAGAGGACACAAATTGGGTGTCCTGAGGGGAAGGCTCATTATTTCTGGAAAAGTGTGTGGGTTGTGGGTTGGAGAGAAATTGAATGTTCATAACCATGGAAAAACAACACACCATGGTTTTGGAATTTAATCCATGTAAATTTGAACCTGGTGAGAAGAAGAATCTAAACTTTAGTCTGGTGTTTTAAAAACAAACCTATGTAAATTATCTTAAATTTGGGAACTGTCTAGCTTTTTGATATTAGGATTGTCCCACAAGGTTAATATGCCTAATACATGTGTTGATTTTTGCAGAATGTAAAAAGCTCCTGAGATTCTTTGCAACTGATTGTTAAACTTGTCCTACCCTTGCTCAACATTTTTCTTTCCCTTTAGCTATCTTCTGTTGCTATGACAGCTTCTGAACCCCAAGACCACTACATTATAATACTGTACAATTTTTATTTGAATCTCATAAACTCAGCAAATCCAAAACCAGGTTTAACATTTTGCATTCAAACTGGTTGTCTTTTTTTTTTCTCTATCATCTGTATTTAACCACTTTGACTTGTCAGTTATTGGCTTCTGTTGCTCACAAGATGAAAGGTACACTTTTAGCCTGACCTTTGAGGCCTTTTACAATCTCACTCTTGCCTACCATTCTAGCTTTGTCTGATTTTAAGAACCCTTTCTTTCAGTCTTACTGGTGCTTTACCATCTGGATAAACACACTGCACCATCTCATGACTTTACCCATCTGAAATGTGTTATACAATGTGTTTCAAGTGCAGATTCTCTTTTGAGTCAAAAATGTATTTGGCCAAGCTGGTGTGGTTCAGTGGTTGAGTGTCAACCTATGAACCAGGAGGTCATGGTTCAATTTCTATTCAGGGTACATGCCCAGGTTGTGGGCTAGAGGGGGGTGTGCAAGAGGCAGTTAATCAGTGATTCGCCCTCATCATTATGTTTCTTTTTCTCTCCCTTCCTCTCTGAAATCAATAAAAGTATTAAAAAACAAAATAATGGGTTGTTGAAATAACTAGATCTAATCATTACAAAATATGACCTAAAAGAAAATTTATACTGAGGAATTATGCCCTATCATATAGTTTTTAATATTAAAATTTTCATAAGCAACTTGTCATAATTTCTAAATCTTAATAGATTTGGTGTATGCCATGTGAAGGAGTATTTTCAGAGAGTACTTTAGTATTTTGCATCCTATCTTAAGAGCTCATTGAATGAGTAATAACAGACTGAACTCAGCAGAATGTAGAATTGGTGAAGTCAAACATAGGCCAAAAGAAAAGATTCAAACAAACACAGAGAGGGAGGGGGAAAGAATAGATGTTAAGAAACAGATGGGCTCTGGCTGGTGTGGCTCAGTTGGTTGAGCAATGTCCCCTGCACTGAAGGGTCACAGGTTTCATTTCTGGTCAGGACACATACCCAGGTTGTGGGTTTGGTCCCTGGTCGGTGTGTGTATGGGAGGCAACCAATCAATGTTTTCTCTCTCTCCCTCTCCCTTTCTCCCTTTCTCTCTCTAGAATCAATGAAGGAACATATCCTCAGGTGAGGATTAAAAAAAAGTTAATCAAGTTCTTGGGTGTAGCACTGTGATCATTGGCATTACAATTGTGAGCAAAAAAATCAAGACATAGTCCCTGCTATGAGTGTCTTTAGGCTAGTAGAAAGTAGTTCCTGGGCAGGTCATTTTGATAAGAAAAATGTATTTTGTAAAATATGTACTTATTGCCTATCTGCACAGATCTTTTAGATGATGCATCTCTGATTTACATAGACTCATCACTGTGGACCTATATTGTTTTGCTACTTCAGTTTAAATCTGATACCAAACGCTTGTTGTAGTGTGCCCCCTCTACTCCCCCTTTATTGTATCAGCTTCCAGTGACTTTCCTTGGCTCTCTGTTTTGTTGACACAAATTTATAATAGGATGAAGTGTTACATGGAGCAGTGTGGAGAACACCTGTTATCTCCAGGCTCCTTTCTTCTCTGATAGTAGATTACAGTATTAATTGTGTCTACCGGAGAAAAAGATGCAAGTACAAGCCAATGTCTAGCTTTTTTGCATAGGTCCAATTGGAAATGACAGAAGTTGCAGAACTTTTAAGTTTCCATATGTCATAACAATATGATATGAAGGCTAGGTTCTTCATGTTTAGTATTGCTTAATAATTTTTTGAAAACTTTTCTTTGTAATATAGTTATATTCTCCACACTTTAGTTGTATTTTCCTTCCTCTTCACTTTCATATACAGTAGTTTAATGTAATGTAATGTTATGAAAGTTAGCTGATTTGTTGTATGGTTTCTAACAATCTTTCTGATATTAAACTGTGTAAGTGGAAGATAACCATATATAGTATTATTGTTATGCTTTTTAATTTGAGAAACTGTTTTCTGTTAATGAAGATACGCTAGAATGGAGGGTTTTGAGCTTTTTCCTTAGAGGTTGATCTGTTTTATGAAGTGTTTCTGTAATGTTTTCTTTAAAAGTTAATATTGGCACTATTGGTTAAGTTTATTTAGAGTGTTGTTGTCTTAGATGTCTTAAGAAATTTTAAATACTGTTTTATTATTTTCCACTAGGAAACCACCCCTACTCCTAATCCCCCGCCTACAGAAGAAGAGAAAACAGAATCTAACCAGGAGGTTGCTAACCCAGAACACTATAGTAAACATCCTTTACAGAACAGGTAAGTTTTCTGACACAGTTTTCTGACTTTAGGCAGCAAGGTAAGTAAATGGTGAATAGGATAGGTTTGGAGGGAAAGGTTAGATGAAACACTAGTTTTAGATATGTCAGGTTGAGTATTCCATTTTCACTTCAATGACCCATCTACACTAATAAAAGAGAAACATGGTAATTAGCGTACGACCGCTACCCTTTTCATTGGCTAATCAGTGAGTATATGCAAATTAACTGTCAGCCAAGATGGCGGCCGGCAGCCAGGCACTGAAGCAAGCACGAGGCTTGCTTGCTGCAGACTCCAACGTTC